GTTAGTATTGGAGGGTTCCTGCATTGCTTTGTTGCTGAGAGCTGGAGAAGGAGAAAGGCTCTCTATGCTTTCATCGGAGAGCTGTGACTCTAAGGTTTTGCAAGTCAACGCCAACCGAACTCAGAAGCAAATTGGAACCCAATGCAGTTCTGGCAAGAATGGTGTTGTATGTTCTCTAAAATGCACACTCAACACCAGTCTGGCTGCAAACGCTTCCAAACGCTTTTCAAAGGCAGCCTATTACCCCAAAAAATAGTGGGGTTCCTACCAACAATGATGCTATTTAGTATTTTGGGGAATGAATTACTTCAATAAGAGGGCTGTGGTACCTTAAGGGATCGTTCAAACCAGTATACCAGTGGTGGCATGGATTGTGACTCTGGAAACCAGAGTTCGATTCCCTGCTCAGCCGTGGAAACCCACTGGGTGACCTCAGGCAGGTCACACTCTCTCAGCCTCAGAGGAAGGCCATGGCAAACCTCCTCTGGACACATCTTGCCATGAAAACCCCACAATTGGGGTGCCTTAGGGCCACCGAAAGTCAGAAACGACTTGAAGGCACACAATACTGGTACTAACTATTGCCAGACCCTGGTTTTAAAAGGAATCAATGAGTTTTATTTACATTCTGGCAAACAAGATAGTAAAATGTGGGCTAGACAATACAACTGTTAGGTGGATTAGTAACTGGTTGACCGGCCGAACCCAAAGGGTGCTCAGCAATGGCTCCTCTTCTTCATCCTGGAGAGAAGTGACCAGTGGGGTGTCCAGTGGGGTTCTGTCCTGGGCCCAGGGCTATTCAACATCTTTATCAATGACTTGGATGAAGGAATAGGGGGCATGCTTCTCAAATTTGCAGATGACACCAAATTAGGAGGAATAGTTAATACCCCAGAAGACAGGATCAAAAATAAAAATGACCTTAGGACAGGGGTAGGCAACCTAAGGCCCGGGGGCCGGATGTGGCCACCCGAGGCCTTTGGACTGGCCCCAGGCCCATCCTGCCACCACCGCCCCCCACCATGATGATATTGATTATTGTTGTTATTATTTGTTCTTGGGGTTTTCTTGGCAAAATCTCCACAGGGTTTTTGCCATTACTTTTCTGGGGCTGAGAGAGTGTGCATGCATATTTTTTTAAAAAAAATTACATTTTTAAAATTTTATTTATTTATTTATTTTTGGTGCTTCAGCCCCCCAATTGTCTGAGGGACAGCAACCTGGCCCCCAGCTCAAGAAGGTTGCCTACCCCTGCCTTAGAAGATTAAAAAGCTGGCCCAAAGCTAACAAAATGAATTAAAACACAGAAAAAA